AAGAATTAGTAACCTGGACATGATGTGCTACTGTAATTATAGTAATTACATATTTACTAACTCAAAGTGGTCATTTCTTACCATCTTGGAGTAAAGTGACTTGTATCTGAACGTGTTTGATTGTGTATGTTTACCTTTAAGAAACCCCAATGATTTTTTTTGTTGGTGGTTTTTGTTGGTTTTTTTTTTTCCTTTTTTCCCCCCTTCACATCTTAAATGATGGAGAGGCTGACTGAATATATTTGGCGCTTATAATATCACCAACCTTTAGATAAGGCCTATTTATTCCAAGTCCTTTTCTTTATTTGTGATTTAAATGCAGCATTATACCAACATGTCCTTTCCTGGATCTCTGATGTGAAGTAGTATGTTATCTTGATCCTGCTTTGTGTAAGGTGTTATTAAACTACACTTGAATTTATGTTTTCTGGAATGCTTCTTTTAAAACTTTGCAGCTTTGTCAGAGGAAAATTGAGTAAATTTCAAGAAAGCATCCTAAAAATGGGTTGTTATAAGAACATCATTCAAACAAGTACTATTTCTGTTAAACTTGTTAAATACTTGGCTGGCACATCTAATTAAAAGTACTGCTTTATGCAGGGTGAGTCAGGCTTTTTAATTTCACAGCAACAAATTGTTTCCAATTCTATTTCTATTTTGTGGACAAAATTCAGTTATTCTCAAACATAATGCTTGCTTCTTATACGCTAATGCTGACTACTTGTTGAAGTATGCAGGTGCGGTTTAACTTTTTCTGTAACATTCATTCAATTTAAACTAGTTAATGCTTCTGTTCAAGTCTGACCAGATTATTTTGTTCTGGTTTCTATTAGCAAAATAATTGAGTATGGAGGGGGAAGGTTGGGAATTGAAAACTAAAATAAGTCTTCCACAAAAATACACCTACTGTAGATACCTGTTACTTAAGCAAAAAACACCCCAGGCAAACTCAATTAAAATTAAAAACTGGTGTATGTAAGTTAGCCCATAAGCCTGGATTATGTTTCTTACCCCCCACATTTTGTACCTTGCAAGACACAGGTGTTTCAAAGCCCTGTGTTAGAGGAGCTAGGTAATAACTCTTTGCACCTTAATGGAGAACCGCGGTGCTCAGGTGGCAGCTGAAGTTTACCTTCTGGTAATGTTCTGATAAGGCTTATGCTGTCTTCCTCTAAAAATATATCCAGATAAAACTATTGTGAATCAACTGTGACTTATGGCCTAATTTTTGGAAATAAAACACTACTTGACTTCAAGTGTGTCTTTGGGTGCATCGCATCTGTTCTAAAGCTTATTTACCAAAGTTGTAGTAAAAACCAGATTTGTTTAGAAGCTGACAGCACTTGTGTATCTTAAACGTCTGTGTTGTGTCTTATCTATAGCAACCTGTTCTTCTGGGGAATTTTTCCTTTTGTTTTTCAGTGTATGCCGAGAATATTTTCAGAATGGTGGGAAAAGAAAAGCACTTGAGAAAGATGAAAAAAGAGCACTTCTTGCTTCTAAAACCACTCCAGCTTTAAATGTTCCCCAGGCTCCCAAGATTGAAGATCCCTTGCCAAACTCTGGCTTGACAAATCATGAAGCTGTAACAGAAGAGTAAGTTTTACTTGTTTTCCAGACTGTTTTTCTCCCTCTTTGTGTGATACAACTTACCTGGACATTTTTTTCTCTGTAACATATTAGATCACTCTGATCTATTTTTAATAGTTAAGAAAGGGCATTTTCATGTGAAAATATGCATGTTACAAGAAATATTTATGTTGTAGTATATTTTGGTGGATGCCATAAAAAAAAATTTGCTTGAGAATGACTACTTATCTTCATTTAAGTGTTAGAGCAATTTCACTTTTGCATGTCATTGGTGTGCAATGCAATTTATATAAAACCTTGAGGTGAAATAAGGGAGATGTTAATTAAGTTAGAACCTAATGGCTGTTCAGCACTGTTGAAAAGTCAATTGCTTATGTAAGTACTAAGTGCCAAATGTAAATATCAGAGTACTTAAAACTTTCTCTTCATAAATAATTGCAGAGAAACTCTTCCAATTATACACTTCAAAAGCAATTTTGAATTATAACCCTTAATTTTAAATGTGCTAGCTTTCTGATGGCTGGCTTTGCGGAAGTTGTAGTATCCTTGAGGTATTTTCCTAACAACAGTTTTAATTTTGTTTTTGACCTTCACTCAAATAGGATTTTATTTTTGGCATTCAGGAGTAGCTTTATTATTTCAGTTACAGTCTCACCCTCCGTTTTTCCTACATGGGTCATGTTTGTGGCTATTCCAGGCGTGATGCAGAAAACCTAATAATTTTGCAAGTATAATGGAATAATGAATGCATAAGCGTATTATCATTAAATGTTGCACTTGGGACTTGTTTCATGTTCTTGCAACTGTCTGCAATAGTGGTGGCTCTGTTCTGTGAAGACGTTTTTCTCATTATTGCAGCACGACTTCTGTGATACAGTATTAGTTAGGAAAGGAACGAGTGTGTTACTAATGTTAGGAGCAGATGTGTCAGTCCCTTTGAGCTGATACCTTTTGTGGTTTCTTGTGTGTGTAAAGTAATTTGCAAAAGGCATAAAGATTCCAAATGCTCATGTGGTTGAATAGTTACATGAAAAATTAAAACATTTTCCCTGTTGTTGTCCTATTATAACAAAACAAAACAGATGCTTCTGAAATGAAGGTAGTGGCTTCTCATAAACTAACTTCCTCCACAGACTCCTCTTTTTGCTGCTCATTTTGCAAAGTCAGCCTCAAAATGAATACCTGTTTTTAATGGCAGTTCTCTTTTGCACGAAGGGCTGATGAGATACTAATACCTTATAATATCTCAATAATGCTGGCATTTGTTAACATACAATTTTAGCATTATTGTAAATCACAGTTTGTTAAGACTTGTTTGTTTAAATCAATAGGTTTGATAATCATACACTACTTAAAGTTGATTTGTCTTCCATCGGGAGGCCTTGTCATGATAAAGCATTAGCCCTCTCTTTGCATGTGCTTTGTTGTCATACTTTATAATGGCTGTTGGGGAACTAACTTCACATGAGTTTCTTCTTGCTACCAGTAGTCTGTACACTTACCTTTTGTTCTGACTAGTGTGTATAGAAAGTAGTTAATAGAGAAGTTTTTATTAAATAATTTTAGAAGTACTTGTTAATTGTTAATATAGTGAGTGATTATGGGGTTTTTTCTTTGTTCTAAAACTGTAAAAATCCAAACATCCATAAAGAAATACCTGGCAAAGGCAAGTTTCATAGTACTTACCGGAGTAAGCAACAGATGATAGTAAGGTTTTTAGTAGCTGTACAGGCCTTAAAGCAGGAACACAGCTGTTCTTAGAAGCTGTCCAGAGTCAAAATTCAATTTCTTCTTCTATGACTTAGAAGAAATTACAGAGCTTATTGGAATGAAAATGGATTGTGTATTACACAAAGCATATATTTCTTTCTGAAAAGATTTTCTACTGTGTCTGATCAATCACTGAAGTCAGAACTTCAGTGAGGTCTTTGTACAGGGTTATGGGGGAACTTCTCCCAATACATGCACTTGTTTGTATACTGTCGTTCCATTCTGGTCATATAGCACTATGTTGTCTGTAGGTATGGCTAAGCCTGTGACTTTGTTTTACTCTGGTAAGTGTAAAGACAATAATTTTATTCTTCACATATATAATCCTCTCTCAAGTGGTATTTAAACCAAGTTCCTTCTGTAGGAGCTCTTTCTGAATCTACCTTTACTGGAAAACCATTGTGGAGAGACTGTACCTTACTTGGTAAAAGGAGCAAAGCAGGCTTAAGAGAAAAAATGTTCCATGGGTAGCAGAAAAGATGCTGAGAGATGTGAAGGGAAGTAGGAAGCACTCAGCCAGCTCTTAAAGGTGATGGTAGGAAACACCATAGGAGCCAGAAATGCAAAGTTTACTTCAACTCAGAAAGTCACTCAGCTATTTTGATGAACCCATTTCCAGTTGCTCATGTTGCTCACCTCTTTGCCCCATTAAAAATGGTGAATCACACAGCAATAACTAATGTGAATGGTTATTTTTTACTTTCATCTATATGAAAAGTAATGTATTTTCTGCAGTACTTCCTTCCATCCCAGAATGAGTTCTTAGGTCTCTGACATTACAACTGCACCTGTTGTGAAGCGGGACATCAAAGTGGCTCAGTCTCACAAGATGAAAGTGGTTGTTATCTGCTGTTTAACAGCTCCTCCCTTCAATAAATCAGTCCCCTCTTTGTTCTGTTTTTGAGTATTTTCTCTTCCATCAAATTAAGCGGTCTTGCTTTTTATCCTTAATGGTAAAAATCACAAACTTTTTGTATGGATTCTTCTCAGGACCTGGTTTGATTATCTCTCAAGGTAGAACCTATCATTCCTTCTTGTATAAGTTATCACAGCAAGGTAGAACTTCCCTTTGGATTTGACGCATACCAGTGTTGCCGCTCCAAACCAGATGTATAGCTTTGTTCTGCTCTTCTGACAGCAGCATGAGGCTTCTAAATCTTTTTCCCACATGTCCTTGATAAACTATAGAGCAATTTAAAACTGTAAGCTAGGAGATCAGCACTTGAAGTGATTAATTTCAGAGATAGTGACTTTCCTTATGGTCATACAACTGCTCTATCTGCTTCCAAAATGTCATTTACCTGTACAGCACCTAGTTGAATAATAGGTACATTTTTAAGGGTGCTAATAATAAAGAGCGGTAGTCCATTTAATGAAGTTCTTGAAATAAACAAGTGGGGGATATATTTAAAAAGCACTTATTCCCTGGAAGTGTTCAAAAACTGTGTAGATGAGGCCCTGACATGGTTTAGCGGTGGACATGGCAATCCTGGAGTAAAGGCTGGACTTGATGATCTTAAAGGTCTTTTCCAATCTAGTTGATTCTATGATCCTATTTCTCAGGTTATATACACTTCTTTACCAGTTCCTGATCTTTAACTATTCACATTTTGTTTTTTCTACCTGTACACTAATGTACTGGAGAACTGTGGATCAAGATGTGCCTGGATATTACCTACAGTGGCAAGGTACTTCCCTTGCTTTTAATGTTGCCTTGGCTGAAAATCATTAAGAAACAGGGGATTGAAGGGTGATTATTAATGAATTCACCAAGACACTGTTTCTAACAAAGTGACTGGCTCACTGGATGAGTGATCATCACCTGGATTACAGTTATATTCTTACAGAGGAATCTAAGAGTTGCAGTGCTGAAAAAATACATATCCAAACCAGTGGTCTTCAGACCATTGGAACCAGTGCTCTGTGCTCTCTGTATGTTCAGTGACTGAATCTAAGTGGCTCTGAAGAGCTTCAGAATTATTTCAAGCACCTAACTAGGCTCCTGTTCCTACTGGTAACCGGCAGCCTAAGAATTGCTGCCAAGTGGTTACACCTATGCTCTCAGAGGCAGCAAAACCTCACAAGCATCAGGACGTCAAGACACAAGTGAGCATCTGAATCTTTGCTACTTTTAAGGTTTCAAAGTACATTTACACTGAACTTACATTACAAGACTCCTTGGATGTGACACACCTATCAAAGTAAATTTGTTCTCCATTAGTGTAGAAGAGAGTTTCTGGCTTCTGCTCAGCTTGGAACCCAGAGTTGCAGTTTTCCAGAAGTGTGTCCCAGTGCTGTAGTGATCTGAAGTAGTGTCCCCCTTCACCCAGTCAAAAAATAATAGTGCAGCCAAGGACGCAGGTTTTATAAGAGAGGAAAACAGTAATACATCACAGCGATTTTTCACTTTACTGTAGGTGAAGAGGGCTCTCGTGGACATTAGAGGGTTCTGGGTTGTGCTGCTTAATTTTAATCTCTACAGGTATTTCATAGAATACTTTAAATGGAAAATGTTTTTAAATGGAAATCACTGGAGGCTGTCACTCTCATAGGAAGTTTTCTCTGCACTGTAGAGTCATGTTCCCTCTTTGTGTTTCTTGTGGTCCCATGTGTCTTCTGTTGATTTGCCATTGGACTGTTAACGTAGAAAGCAAGTGTACATACACATACATTTTTGTGTTTGAATGAGAAAGAATTTATCATCAGTGTCTCCATTTGCTGGACAAGGAGATATGCTGGTCCAGGAAACCTCATACTAGCCTTATGTGGAAAAAGACATTGCTAGACTTCAGCCCATGTGTGTGATTTATGGCAACTAGGATCTGAATGGTCCCTGTGCAGCATTCAAATTCCCGTTGTACGGATTACATTGTGATGGGCATCCAAGCTGTGAAAAAATTGTTGCTATCCTCTTCATTCTGAAATCCCACTCAGGACTGAGTGACTTTCAGAGTAGCCTGGTAACATGTGCATTTTAACTTAGGGTTAACTGCTGCATTATTTGCTTTGGTGATGCTGGTATTTTGAGAGAAGTATCCCCTGGATATCTTCTATTCTGTGTATAAGTAAAATCCTTTAACTTGGCATTACTATTCTGCCAAATGCAACAAGAAATCCTCTCTTGCTTCTTCAACTTCCTCTCTGTGGAAGATCACTAGGAGTTTAGGAGCCCAGATCTATTTATGCCGCTTAAAGATACTAGAGAACATTGTATTCCTTACTGTTTTGTTGTTGCTATGAGTACATCCACAGCTTTGCTGGACCTCACTAGCCCTGCAGATCTGTTTCTGAAAGTTTTTGTAGTTATCTGTCTCTCGAGGGCTCAATCTTTCCCCGAAAGTGGTATTTTGGAGATGCCAATTAGAATTGGCTACAGAAACTTGAAACAAAAAGCAGCATTTGCTTGCTGGATAGTTACCATTCTCCTCCCTGTAAGTTCCGTGTGAACGTGGTGAGTTCGTGTTTGTTTGCCTCCGTTAATGGATTTTGGGTATTCTAAGATCTTAGAAATTATGGAAATTTTTAGATGCAGCTCTGTAAATGATCCAATAGAAAGAGCTGGAACTGTTGAGTGCTAGTGGTGCTGTGTTTTTGTTTGGGGTTTTTTTTGTATGTGGATGCACTCATCAAATGGTGTTCTAAAGAACAGACAGATGTACTAGTGGTCTCAAACAGAATCGTTTAAATATTTAATGTTTTGTTGCAGTTGCAAAACAAGAGTAAACGGCAGGGACCTCCAAATTCAGAATGTAAGGAAAATAAAAAAACAACCATAAAGAACAATGAATTTGATTGTAGGATATATTCCACAGCAGAGTCCTAGATATTAGTGATAACTGAATGCAACATTCATATTCTAATTCTTTCTAAGAGGAACACTGTAGCAGATTAGACATACGAAGTGCCAGGATGAAGCAAAACCTTTAAAAGATGACAAGATAGCTGACTGCCAGCACTTCTGTACAGGTGCATTGATCTTACCTGACGCTACGTTATATACATTGGTAACTGCCTTATCATGAAGAAAATGTCCATGGTTGCGAACTTGACCACAAATGTTCCTTTAGGCATTGGTCAAGGAGACTATCCTTTGGAAGGTAAGAATGCTTTCAGAGGCAAGGCAGCAGTCACTAACTGCAAAAGTTGTCAGGCAGCTTTTTTTTTTTTTTTTTTTTTTTTTTTTTTTTAACTATACATTTAACTTGAAAGAGCAGAGATGTCTTTATTTCAGATTGGGTTTGCAGTTGGTCACAGATGTCAGAGCTTCCTAAAAAGGCAAATCCCGCCTCTAGTGTATCTTCTGCTGCTGCTGGAAGCTTCCACCAGGCAGTACAACAATGCCTTCTCTTTGTTTCTTCAGTCTGCTGTTTTCTTGCTGACCTCCCACTCCTCCAGGATTTTTTTTTACCCCCGAAAGTTCTGGAATCTGAAGATGATGGGCCAGTTATTCGGGGGGTGGTGGTGGTGTCTGGTGGTGGTGTTTGGTTTTGGTTTTTTCGTTTTTCTATGATATTTTGGAAGAGTATATATATGCATCTCTGCATTCTGGGGTATATATGTGCATCTCAGTAGTCTGCCAACTGCTTGCCATCAGTCCAAGCAGTAAGTCACAATTTCTCAAGTTAATATCTCCCTGCCTTCCCCCACCTCCTCCTTTAAAAAGAAATAAAGTCATTCACCTTCTTTTGTTTGGTGCATAGTTAAGTATTTAGCATTACAGCCATTGGCCTTCTTATCTCTAATTTCACCTTGAATAGTAGGGTCATCACACAGTGGCAGATAAGGATATAGATTTTTGGCTTACTAAAATGTTCACCAGAATTCTTACAGGATAAACCTTCATTTGTGAGTACTTCAGTAACACTCTGATTAGGACTCTTTCCTAAGCCAGACAGCTGTTTTTGCCTACTTCTAATTAAAAAGCTTTTGGATACTCCAAAAGAAAACTGATTGCATGGCATGGAATAGGTTGAGGGGTTTGTTTGGTTTTTTTTTTTAATTTAGTTGGTTGTTTTTTCCCCAGGTAGTTTTGAGGGAATACTTTCATGTAGATGTTTCAAATAACCTCCCTACAGCTTGACAGCCAGTTTTTAAGTTTGTGGCTCTGCGTGGACTGATGTAACTCTTTTACAGCATCCATCGAAAACAGAATTGCAGTGAACCTCCAGCAGCCATCCATTTAAAAAATAAATTAGCTAACATAATTAAAATCTTTTATTTGCCTTTTTTTTTTTTCCCCAGGGAATAACTAAATGTTTTAAATTTTGAGGTTGTTTTTTGTTTGGTTTGTTTTGTTTACCTTGGAATACCATTATGTGTTTTCTTGCTTTTATTAAACAAATTGTGGCACTTGACTTCAGATGCCCTTTAAAATGGGACTGACAAGTGAGTGTGTCGTAGTGTTTCCAGTTTCTCTTTTAAACTCATGAAATGTCACTTTAACACCAAAAAATACTGCAAAAAGGTAAGTGGGAAACAAAGCAATAGTGAAAGTCTGTCTAGTGGCACACAAGTTACCATTTTAATTTCTTACTTACAAGTACACAAGTTAATAGTATTAGAGCTGCTCTGAACATAATTCTTCCACTTCAAGACCATCTGCTTTACTGGTGGAGCTTGGCTTTTTAGGTATGTCAGCAATTCAAGTAAGGCATTCACTTCTATTAGTCATTACAGTGGTGTTCTGTGAGAAATTTTTTTGCGTTAGTTATCTGAAATTGTAATTCAGAATATAGCTTCAGAAGTAACATTTGATAAAACTGAATTCTTGTTGCTTTTTAGATTGCTCCATTCCTTGGGGAAGATCAGATTACTTGATGTTGGTAGCTGCTTTAATCCATTTCTGAAGTTTGAAGAATTTCTGACAGTTGGCATAGATATTGTTCCAGCTGTTGAGGTATGTAACACGTGCTAAATTTATATTAAATTTGATTCTTAAATATTTCAGAATTCTTCAGAATGACTGTAAAACAAAGTATGTCTAATACTTAAGTATGCATCCTAAATATCTGTGCTTTTAATAGGAACTGTGGCCCTCCTGCTACATCCTTTCTAAGCATAGAATCATAGAATAGTTAGGGTTGGAAAGGACCTTAAGATCATCTAGTTCCAACCCCCCCCTGCCATGAGCAGGGACACCACACACTAAACTCTGTCTCCCAAGGCTCTGTCCAGTCTGGCCTTGAACAGTGCCAGGGTTGGAGCATTCACAACTTCCTTGGGCAACCTATTCCAGTGCCTCACCACCCTCACTGTAAAGAACTTCTTCCTTATATCTAATCTAAACTTCCCCTGTTTAAGTTTAAAGCCATTACCCCTTGCATAGGCTGTAAACTGTAGTTGTGGTTTGGTTTAAAAGTCTGATTTTTTTTCCCAAGTTTTATGCCTTTATAGTGCAGTTGTGAATCTTAAAATTGGAAAATTTTAGTAGCCAGCTTTTAGTAGCATTTAGGATATGTTTTTATATCTTAAAAGGCATAAATAAAAATATGAGGAGGCTTATGCTTAGGCATGAGCCTCTCAAGAAGTTCCATTCACTGACAGAAGGAAATCATCAGTGACTGTATTTGGTGAGTTTTTCTGGGAAGTTTTAGTAACCAGAAGTGCACTGTAAGGGAGCTTTCTGTTTGTTGCTGGAAGCATTATTGAACTAGTGTAATCCTAAGGACAAATCTATTGGCACTTTTGGGGTAAATCGCTTCAGTTTCTCTAGGCAGTAATGTTCTCCAGTGCATTTATTCTGCTATAATCTTACATTCTATATTTTGCTCTTGACCCAACTTATGCGAGTCCTAATAGTGTTTATCAACCAAGCAAAATGACAACGTGGTATGAAAATGAGAAGATAGAAATGAATTTCTGACAGAAAAAACCTTGACCATTGACACTTTGACCACTTACAGTTTAAAATCAGGCTCTATTAAAAACAGTGGCCTAAGTTGACCCTTTTTGGAAGTGGAGAGGTGAGAAATGGACAAATACAATAATGCAGTTAACTAGAAAGTAGCATTCTCTTATTTGCTGCAGTGTGGTGTACATGCTAAATGTGTGGTATTTTGTTGTGGTTACCAGGTGTAGTCCACTGACACCTAATTTATCTTTTTGTGTTTGTGCTTGGAGATAATGAAAGATCTTCTTGGGGGGACATTGGGGGGAATATAATCTGAGTCTGATAGATTGCCTTTTAAAGCAATTCAGTATTTGGTTCATCTAAAACACAAACTTTTGAGTGGGCTCCATCTTGCTTAATTTTAAGAATAGGCACCAGTTGCCCAAACACAATTGCCTTACCACTTTTAAGAGACTGTAGGACACCTGCATTGGGCTGTTGGGCAAGACACAGGATGTGAAGGAGACAGATGCCACTGAAGTGCCAGCCTATGGCATCTAAAATGGTAATACGTGGCAAGTACATTCCCATCTAAGATATACAGATCATGGGTGTCTACATCTGGGGTTTGAAGTTCCAACTACAGTTAGTGGAGATCTATTAAAAAGAGTTGGGTTGAAACCTAAATATCTGCTGTTTCATGATGAGGTGAATTGTGTTCTGACCTCTTTGGCTGTACTGCCTAGCTCACCAGTGACTCTAATGGGAGCCTAGGCACCTGAAGTTAACGTGAGCTGAATCTAAGCATTAATTTTTGGGCATGCATAGTTAATATTTTGCTATGTAGTCTATTGTGCTGTTTTTGTAAGCAAATGACTTTGTTCTCATGAAAATCAATTTAAATGTACACTGACCAAAACCATTACTGGAATAGTACCAGAAAGGTCACTTCTGTGAGGAATATGAGTAATCTAGGCCAGACAAAAGGAAAGGAAACTGAGATAAGGGTAAACAAAACAGGTTTCTTCTTGACCTAGTGTTTTTGTTGGCTATTCCTTCAAACATTCTGCTCATAACACAGATATTTCAGACTGCAATTAGCAGTGGTTATTTTCTTAGAGGAGTTTAATTTGTCTACATTAAAAAAAATCCAAAAACTAAACAAAACAAAAAAAACCCAACAAAAACAAAAAAACAACAACAAAACCAAACCCCACAGCAACAAACAATAATAGAAAAAGAAAAATTGGAATGAAGAGTGAATCTCCACTTTGGGAAAACCCAAATAAAATTTCATACTTTTGCAAAGCGTGCTGGATATGCAGCAGATGTTACATTGGAGTACATGTGGTCTGAGACCAAAAAAGAAAAAAAAAAAAAAAAAGGCTGAAGGGTACTGGAATTAAAAATTATAGTATACAAGTTGGATTGTGTTCTTAGATGTCAGTGGATGCACTGAAATATGGCTGCTGGTTCAGTGTCCAAGAGGTCTTTAACATCAGTTCAAGATTTGTGTATCTCTAGTTTAGCAGCAATCTGGGCTTTAGGTGCATTTTTGTCCTAAAAATGTCTGCAGAGTTGAGAGTCTGCTAGAAGCACATTTTAGTTCTGAATTTGTCTTTAACATAACTTCTACACAACTGCTTTATTTTTTTCACTACTCACAAATACTTGCAGTCTGAATTGTTTTCTAAACTGTGTATGTATAACTGCAAACTTTTAAAGTCTTGCTTCTAAGTGAAGTTAGCATGGTACTTTGAACAATTACTCTTCAAAGCACTTCCTTCTTCTAAAACTTCCTAGAGGATATCATGAAATGACTACTGATAATTTCCTGTTCTGAGTATTACAAGGAAGCAGAATATAGCCCTATAGGTATAATGGTTGCAATTAAAATTTCTTTATTATAGCCACATAATGCAAGTCTTTTTCTTGATTTTTGCATATTGAAGGGCAATATTAAAGCTGCTGAAAAATAAATCACAAATTACATTGACTTTTTCTAATTTACTACGTACTCTGAGAGAATAGGATTTCATATAAACACGAATAACATTCTATTCTACTTGGAAACAATTGTGCGTATCAGTTGCTTTACGAATACCTTTTACAATGGAGATTTTTGAATATTGTTTCATAAAATATGCTGTATTTTTGTGATACAAAAATGCAGATCTAAGTCTACCTGTCAGATATGCTCCACAGAATGTTTTGTGTCTGCATTCATGTTAACTTACCTGTTAAAAGTGTCTGTCATTCACTGCACATTCTCTAGGCATTAATAACAATTTTTGTTGCTATTGTGTCAAAACTTTATATCTTAATACCATTTTTATGAAAGAAGTCAGTCCCAGACTTTGATGAATATAAAGTGTCAAAACTTAAATGTAGTGAATAGCGTACTATTATCCTGGTTCTTTTGAATGCTCTGTGACTAAAGATGTTAAGAACTTACTCATCTCTATGTTGTATTGCGGTGTCATTTCCCATCTCTGACAACTTGAGCACATGAATGATCAACAGATGAATTTATAGCCCTTGCCTTACTTTGATAATTTCCCAAATATGTACTGCTACAGTTTGCATTTACAGTAAGGTTAAAACATGAATGTGTATTACTGCTGCAAAGCAGTTCGTGCACTCTTTCTAATATGTATTGCCTTGCTGTAGCTTCTTTCTTTCTGTACCAGTAACAAATGACACTTTTTTCCCAAGTGACCAAACTACTGAGTTTATTAGATTCTTTTCAGAAAACTGGTGGAAATACTGAGGTATCAGATTTACTTTCTAAATACTAATTTCAGGTTTATAAGAACCTGTAAAAGGCTTACAGCATCTGGAGAAACAAAAGTAATGTTGGCTTATCTGACTTCTTAAATCATTTGTCAGATAGTTGTTTTGATACTTTGTTCTACTTGAGCTAAATTTCTATTTTATTATTTTAATTAACTGCTCTCAGTTATCAAATCTTTAGAAAATTACTGCACATAAAATTTTGCTTTGCAATTGTGAAAGCTAGCAATATATATTAAATTGATATTTTACATCGTTTCATTTAACAGCAAGAGGAATATTCAAAAGGCTTGACATTTCCTCAAGGGAATGGAGAGGTTATAATTGATTTTTTTTTTTTTTTTTTTCTGTGGATCTGGATTGTATTTGCTCTTTAAACTAACCTTGATGTTTGTTTGGTTTTCTTATTCCACCAGAGCGTATACAAATGTGACTTCTTAAATCTTCAAATTCAGCAACCACTCCAACTGGCACAAGATGCTATAGATGCCTTTCTTAAGCAACTGAAAAACCCTATTGATTCTCTACCTGGAGAACTGTTCCATGTTGTTGTTTTCTCACTCCTCCTTTCTTACTTTCCATCACCCTATCAACGATGGATATGCTGCAAGAAGGCACATGAACTTCTCGTATTAAATGGCTTACTGCTTGTAATAACTCCTGATTCATCTCATCAGAATCGCCGGGCTATGATGATGAAAAGCTGGAAAATTGCCATAGAGTCCTTGGGTTTTAAACGCTTCAAGTATTCCAAGTTTTCTCACATGCACCTGATGGCATTTAGGAAGACCTCTCTGCAAACAACAAGTGACTTAGTTAGCAGGAACTACCCAGGAATGTTGTATATTCCACAGGATTTCAACAGTATAGAGGAGGAGGAGTATTCCAACACTTCCTGCTATGTTCGATCAGATACAGAAGATGAACAACTAGCTTACGGTTTTATGGAGCTACCTGATGCTCCTTATGACTCAGACTCTGGAGAAAGCCAGTCTAGTTCGATTCCTTTCTACGAGCTAGAAGATCCTATATTGCTTCTAAGTTAATGTAGTTGTGGAAAGGCCCTCTCAGTCAAACTCTTGCTTAACTAATTTTGCTATACTAACATGGGCTCAACACACAAAAATGGTTTGCATAAAGAAAATGCAAAGGTTTACAGAGTTTGCTATTTTTTTCTACTTTTGAATTTTAAAATTTATTCTTGTATGAAAGTGAAAAAACTACAAGTTTTATGCACATGACTGTCGTGGTTTAAGCCCAACCGGTAACTCAGAACCACGCAGCCGCTCGCTCACTCCCCCCTCTTCCTTCCTCCCCCCGGTCCCGGAGGGATGCGGAGGAGAATCGGAGGAATTTAACTCCCACGGGTTGAGATAACAGCAGTCCAGTAACTAAGGTATAATACAAATCACTATTGCTACCAATAATAATGATAAGAGGAATAACAAGGGGAGAGGACACAAACCACTCACCACCCACTGACCAATACCCAGCCCAACCCGAGCAGCGATCTGGGCCTTCCGGGTAACTCCCCCCAGTTTCTATACTGGCCATGACGTGCTGTGGTATGGAATACCCCTTTGGCCAGTTTGGGTCAGGCGTCCTGTCTCTTCTTCCTCCTGGCTTCCTCTCCTCCCTGGCAGAGCATGAGACTGAGAAAGTCCTTGGTTGGAGTAAACATTACTTAGCAACAACTAAAAACATAGGTGTTATCAGCGTTGTTCCCAGACTGAAAGTCAAAAACACAGCACTGCACCAGCTACTAAGAAGGAGAAAAAATGACTGCTGTAGCTGAACCCAGGACAATGACTCATGTCATAGCATAAATTGCTGTTACTTTCTTTAGATGTGTATCACTAATTATTTTCGAGAAAGGTACCATTCTTTTCTTTAGTGCTGTGAAGTGTGAATTCTATTTAATTTGTTAAACGTTGTTTCAATATTTTAACCCAATGTGGTTGAGCTTAAGGCACTGGAGTTGGTGGGCTTCTGAGAAGTGTATGTAGGAAGAAATAATTAGCACTTTAACTAAATGTGCAGATAGGTTAAGACACTTGGTTACACGTGTCCCTTTGTAATTATGGAACAAAACCTTCTTCCAAGATTTGTTTCACTCTGGATAAGCCAGAGCTGGAGAAACTATAATGCTTGCACATTTAATTTTGTTTACTGCAGCCCTTTTGAGATAAAGCCAAATTGAGGTAACACCCAAATACTGGAACATATTCATCCATAGTTATACACACAGTGTAATCTTGTTGCATAAATAGCAGTTAGACATGAGATTCCTGAAGAGGTTATCCCCCCCAAAAGGAGTATGGTACCTCTAGGAAATTATGTTTCACTTGAAAGCTGGAACATGGTTTTGCAATTTTATGAGCGTACAAGCACTGACATATATTAGTATTTTTCCCCAATTCTCTTCAAACTGTTTTTTTGAGGGACAGGGTGGGTTTTGCCATGTTTTAAAGTAAATTATTCACGCATTTTAAAAACAAACAACTCCTTATTTAATTATCCTTATTTGTAGATCTCCCAAGTTACACAGTAACTACAGACCAATTTTGTAAAAAGGAACATAATTATACAGGTTTTTGAAGGATACACGTATTTGCACCAAGTTGTGTATTCAGACCACACAAGTGAAGTTAACATAACTTGTTTGCTTATTTGGACTCCAAAATCTTCTATTTAGCTAAATAAAACCATAGCTGTCTGAAAACTGGTCCTCGCTGTAAGGAGATGGAACAGAAGTGGTTTACATCTATTAAGTTTTTTAACTTGGGTAATAACTCTGTGAGGTTTTGCAAGAAGAAACAGCTCTGCTCAGTGGTAAAACAAGGGGATTCAGTATTAGTTTAGCTTAGCTTTCCCTCCATCTAAAGATAATGGCCAGAATTTTCAGATTTGAATGTTAGGCTGTTAAATCTGTATCTAAGTGCCTAATAATAAATAAATGATTTGAACTAGGTGCCACGTCGGGGTTTTAGACTGACTTCTGCAAAATGGTAGAAAATACTAAGAGTTTCACGGGTGGTTGTGGTGAAATATGCCTCACACCGTATTAACCTACCGTGTTGTACCTATCATACAGAGGTTACAGGATAAACTGAAGTTGTGGTGTGGAATTTACAGTGGTAGCTACAAAAATGAAACTTAGTCCTTCCACTGAAATTTTGCACTGAAAGTGTCACGGTTTGACCTACCTGTTTTTTCTTTTAGACTGCTTCCTGCACAGAGTTATCCCCTGCTGGTCCAGCTTATACTCAAAATGGGATCTGGACTGTAATGCTTTATTCTTTAACATATGCTTTTTGTGTTTCTCCTTAAATTTAAAGCATCCCCTAATACCTGATTCAGATTTGTTACTCAGTCTGAATGATATCCTTATATACAAACCAAACAATTATATTCTGATGTATTAAAAAGAAAAAAGTTTTGACATACAAGTATTAAGGTTGACCTCTTTTGATGATTTCTTTACAGAGAATACTTCTCTAATGAAATGGACAATGGCTTCAAAATTGGCTCCAAGTCAGTATTTGCATCCAATGCTTTACCACTTCACTTGTCGTTCAAAGCCTTTCTTCTTCCCAGTTAACCACTGGCTTCAGCAGTGCTCCTGTTAAAGCTAAAATACTGGTGCTATAAATTCAGCTGTTTATGGAAACTTAATCTGTGCATACTTCAAAATGTACCTAACATTTTAACTGATACTCCTTTTAAAAACAAGTTATATACCAGCTAACATGTATGTTGGCATTGATTAGATTTTGTGAGTCATACAAAAAAGTACTTCAGTCCAAGATCTATCCCCTCCAAACAGTTTAAAATATTAACATAAAAAAAATAAGCCTTTTTGACAGGTTGGTGACACCATAGTATTTGTGGTTTAGGGACCTGAAGTTCGTAATAGCTTGGTTTTCTTGCTGCTCATTCTAAATACCTGAAGTGGGGGTTTTGTTTAGTTTGGGGTTTTTTGGTTTTATTTTTACCTTTTTTTAATTTTTTTTTTTTTTTTTTTTTTGAGGTGGAAAGTGGGATTTACGTAAATACTTCTATCTTCCTGAACAATAAAGTGGTGATATTGGGAGTTGTTGGATATTTGACTTTGGTGCAAGAAGAATGTTTCTAGATTATGAAGTATTTGAAAATTATGACTGTGCAAGAGATCTCTCGTTCTCTTAAGGTGCTGGAGAGGAAAAGGAATATGTGTATTTGCATTTCTGTTGTTTTATGTTACTACTTTTTGTGAACAAAGCACATTTATTAAAAAATACAAAAACTGAATCTTTTTAAAGACTGTTTCTTTGGGGTGGAGATAGCCCTTTTTTTTCCTGTGCAGTTGGTTTACGCAGAAATCCAGTGAAACCAATGCATAGTTATTTTCCTTATTGTCAAGAATATAGTTGTGTTTGGGTTCATTTTGTAAACAACTGAATTATAGTGAAGATGGTAAATTGGGTACTTCAATTTCAGCTTCCACGTATCAGTTTGTGGCCTTTGCTTTATAGAAGGCTTCCTGGAGTTCCTCCAGTTGTACCTCTATCATGTTTCTTCGCCTGCCTGCTTAGAATGCAACCACTTTCTAAGACAGTTCCTCTCTTCTCTCTATATATGTTCTTAATTTCTATCTCCCTGAAATATCTTCGCAGCAGAGTGTTTGTCTTTATTTGGTTTTAACCCATGTAACATTTAGGCCTGTTGGCTGGTTTTATTTTTTTGAAAAGGGGTAAGGATTATGAAGACAGCTCAGGTTCTGTTGAGTCTGTTGTCTGAACAGTTGAGGGAGGAAAGGCAGCCTGTTGAAGGTCAGGTCCTTGGGTATCCAGGTGCTGGCAGTCAGCACTAATGCTTCTTGACTGGGGGGTGGAAAGGGGCTGGTTGAAATAGAGATTACAGGAACAAACGACATAAATCTGTAACAGGCCAGCACTCTCAAAGTTCAAAGAGCTTCTGTGCAGCTGCTAAGCTTCATTCAGACTCCTACTGCCCTTGTTTTGCCTGTGTAGGCAATGGAGCTATTGACATCTAGAACTTCCTGCTCTTGCCTTCAAGGGCCAATTCAGAACATGTCTTTCTAACATGGTGTTGTGAAAATACTGACCGTCAAGGAAACATGCCTGCTGTATAAATGCAACGGTGGTGAAAGCTTTTGTTTTGGAAGCACGCAGGTCAATCCAGGACCAGGCTCCTGCTAGCCATGGATCAGACTGGTTTGGGTTGGAAGAGGCCTTAAAACTCCTCTAGTTCCAACCCCCTGTCACAGGCAGGGGGACCCTGTTGCACCAAGCCCCGGTGTCCACCCTTCCCTTGCACACTGCCAGGGATGGGGCAGCCACAGCTTCTGTGGGCACCCTGTGCCGGAAGGTTAGAGTGTGTTCAGCCGGCCTTGCAGTCCTGACTCAAAACGCGTTTCTCCCTCTTTGTGTCCCTAATTACCTGCTGACAGTACTTACACTTTTGATTATCTTATTCTTCCAGCCCATTACTCCTTCAGTGGTTTGTGCAGGGCGCTTTCACTCCTGCCTGTCAGCTGGATGCTGCT